CAGGAAGTTAGCATTTTCTCGTGCACAGGGTCTATATATGCATTATAACTAACACCAGACAGATACAAGATTCATGCTGAAATGAAACACAGCATAAGATGAAGTAGGAAAAACAGAATTTAAAAAAACGGCATCAAACATCAAAGCTGCTGCGAATCGTCACTTGAGACGCTGAGTGGACGGATTCAGTATTTAATTTTTTCAAGTTCTGGTTTTAAATGATCCAAAACACCAAAGCTAACTCCACCTCCTCATCGGCAGCCTCAGAGTGAATGTGCTCACATTTTACTGACACAGTTTATTCTGTGTGAAAAGAAACCAAAGACGGGAAAAAGCTTCAAGTTTCCAAACTCACATGAATCAGATCACAGTGAGCAAACTAAAGGTGTGAAAACGCCATAAGTCAAGTGTCACAGAGATTATTTTACCCTTTAAAAACTCCTGAATTTCTCTTATTGGTCAAGCAACCTTGTGCCTGTAAAGATGACACACTTACCCATCTGCTGCCGGCGAGCTTTCCTCTTCACACGAGGCCCGACGCCCTGACCTTCCTTCCAGCCCATCTTCATCAGCAGCTCCACCCCGATGGAAGACCTGAGAGACAAAACAAACACACCTCAGAGCAAATTCACTCTGCAAACTGTTAAAGAGTGAAGGATGGACCCGGCGGTGCTGCAGAAGCAAGCTGCTGGGACACAGTTGGTGGGATGTGGGTGTGGCAGCAGTTACCTGGCAGGTGCGATCAGCTCCTCCAGCAGCGTGTCTCCGGGGATCAGAGCCGCCTGAGCGCTGATGGCTCTCGCCTTCTCTCCGGCCTCGTCTCTGCGGCTGGACGAGAACTCCTGACTGGTGGTGATCTCTCTGGGAGCGATGCCGTGTTCGCTGAAATCCTGACAAACACCAACAACGATCTGCATCAGCTCCACTAAACCTGAACCTCAAACCTCCGCACGTCTCTTCTGAAACATGTTCTGCACACCGGAAAGACCAAGCACTCAAACGCTGCAGCGTAAAAACTATAAAATCAGCTTTAGATGATTTCCAGACATCAGACAGCTGCTCTGACAGAAGCGTATAAAATGTTATTTGATATTTTAGGATATTTGATGTTATTTGGATAAAGTCCCAGATTTTTCTTTTACATGTGAATAAAAAACCTTCCCCTCTCTCTGGGTGGTTGTACCTCCTCGTCCATGAAATCTTCTGGCCTGGCATGGTGTTTCTCAGCTTTCTGTTGCCGTGACGACACAAAGGCTGACGGGGTCCAGCCTAAAAAGACACGGGGACGCCAAATGGCAAGATATGGAATCAAAATTAAAATGCTTGAGCTGAAAAAATGGTTTCAATGTTTGCAGAACAACATCTGCGACGGACACCAGCATCGCAACATGGAAGAAAAGTGGAGGACAAAAAAAAGAAAACAACACGCAGCTACAAAGCAGCCAGGTCTGCTCTAAAGCCAACTTCAAAATCAGAGGCTGGACTGAACCAAACACTGTTAGCTTCACGATGAGGGGACACCACCTCCCCTTACACGTCTGCATGCAGCGCTCCATAAATATCACGTTAACTAAAATATGTGTGAACTCTACAGGAGGCGTCTCACCTTCTTTTGAGCCGACAGTGTTGAAGTATCCGGCTGAAAAGCCTCCAGTGAACGCTCCGTGGAACCTCTTATATCGTCCCTTCTCATCTTTGACTGTCTGATCGTGGAGCGGGACGGGCTTCTTCAGCGGCTCGTCTGTGGAAACACATGGAAATTTTTAAATGGTAAACATTGAAATGGGAAAACATTTAAAATTGTTGTCAATTCTGTACAAAACAGAGGTTGTAATAAACTAGAAGGATTTGGAAGTAATTTATTGCTGATTTATACACTGGTCAAAAAGGAAGCAAAGGCAACAACAAGACAACCCCCCAAAAAGCAGATGAGGGCACAGTCCATTGCTCTCTCCTCTTTCTTTTGCTAGTGTCACCGATGATCACCACTCGTCACTGCTGGCAGCCTGAGATGGTGTCTGTATCCTATTTGGGTTGCACAGGTAGTCCAGCTCCTCCATGTGTATCATCTTTGTCTCAAGAATGTGGAGGAGATATCAGGAGATGGAGCAGTAGAAGGTCATCACCCAAGATCGGCATCTGCTCCTTTGTGTGAGGAGCAGGATGAGCTCTGCTATAAGATGGTTACCCGTTTGCATGTTTCTGACCAAACAGTCAGAAAAAGACTTAATGAGGGTGGCTGGAAGGTCCAATATCCTTCAGTGGGACCCGCGCTCACAGCCCAGCACCATGCAGAACCAGCGGGTCCACCACCGGAGCCCAGGGTAGGCTCACACTGCGCTATGAGTTAACCACTACATCACAGAGTCTGTGTAATACAATTTATTTTTTTCCTCCAACTAGTAACGACATTTACGAATATTCTTGTTTTTGTTTTCCCACATTAAATACACTAAAAAAATATATAAATAATCTACATCCTGTAACGATATTTAAGACACAGAATGTCGCACAAAGCCACAGAATAGTCTTTACCGCAGTAAGCCCACAAATCACACACTGCAGCTTCAGATTTGAAGGGAAAAAATAAATGGCAGCTTTCACTACAACTTTGAGGCCGAACTGAAGACCTGATAGTGCTGAAACTTTAGAGATGAGAAATGGCACTGTATTCAGTAGTTATGTTCAACTACTTTAATCAGCAACATTAACATAAAGGATTTTTGAATGAGGTCTGGGTTTCAAACTAGGAGGCTATGATTGCGCTTAGCTAGCTGCTCGTTAGCTGAACTCAGCGAAGTAGCGCTGCGAACGGCGCAGCTAGTAACGCTTTGCTTTAAACACCTGGGAGATTTTTTAATGCAAGTAAACAGATGACCGAGATCATAAAATTCACCCCACCTTCTTCCAAAGGTTCCAAAGGAGTCCCGTAAGTCACAAAATCTTCATCGCTGTCGCTGTCGGACGCCATGATTTATTTATTTTTACCCCGTTTACGGTATCCGCAAAAGGACAAACTTTGTGAAGTGTACTTTAGCGCTTCACAAGAACAGTTGGGGAAAATAGCGACACCTTGCGTTAGCTACAAATAACTACATCAGCTGTAACTACATTCACTCAAACTTTAGTAAAATATTTATGTGAGACACTTCCCCTGTTGTGAGGATATCTATGCAGATATAGCTTGCCTTAAAATCAACAAATCAACAATTGTAAATATTTCATATAATTCATTTAAGATAACATAAGGCATATTGAAACATATACTTATTATTAAAATAAAGTCTAATATCTTAAAGTCTAACAAAATATCAGAATTAATGATGGCTTACCTATTACTAATTTGTGTTATTATGAGTTATTTATAAGGACTTAAAGTCGTTAGCGTGAGACAAACTTTTACAGTGACAACATTTTTTCTTCTAGTTCACTATGATTCTGTTTCTTTACTGGAAATAAATATTCCTGTCTGAAATGTCATTAGTGTGTTTAATGAAGAAGGTGGTTTCTCCCTTGTTTGCTCTTAAGTGCTTGCTTTAGTTGTCTTTTCTTCTTATTGTTTGGTTTGTTGATAAAACAACCAGATTTATTGTTTCTTACTGAACTGTGTAATTTCCTCTGCAGCCTCGGAGGAGCTGAAGTGTTGGCTATCGAATGTCCATCCAAAGCTCACAGCAGTTTGTCATTTGTTTTCTTTGAGCCTGAAATCACTCACACCCCCTCAGTGATCCATAAAACCCCACGCTCTTGACAAAAGCCAAACGCCTG